CTAAACCCTTCTCCCTAAACCCCTATAAGGGGAAGTGACGACCTTTGTGGTTGGGCCAGGTCTTTCTGACAGCCCTGGGGCCGCTGTACACGGTATATTTGGGCATCGCGCTTAGATGGGCTTAGGGTGGGGGGGTGGGGAGTTTGGGTTTTACAGGGTCAGGGTTCAGGGTCCATAGGTTTAGAGTTTATAGGGTTTAGGNNTTTAGGGTTGATAGGGTTTAGGGCCGGAAGGGCTCAGGGTTTAGGGCTGATAGAGTCACGGCTTACGGATTGGCAGAAGCAAGCAGCCAAGGTCAAGCGGAAGATGGAAGCTACATAACCAAGAATTGCGAAGAGGCGGATCTACGACCGCGCCTGGACGACCTCTAAGGACTTGCATTTGGAGGGATGAGAGATCCTTGCGTGATAATCCCTCTATAACATCTATAACTCTACGCATTAATTGATTCATAATTGTCCCAATAGGCCTTGTTTTGATCATACGCTAAGGTATCCTGCGTCTTGACGCGGATGTACGGGCCGGTGTGCTCAGAATCGATTTCCAACCAAAATCAGGCCACAGGCAGGAAGCGGTTGGCAGAAAACCTGCCACAGCCACGCAGTATCACCACGTAGAAGCAGGCTAAAGACCGCCGGCTGCAAGTGAGGAAAAGGTGTGCAGGTGCTTCGTTGCAGCCCGGGACAGTTGGATTGAAGATGGCTATTTTTACCACTACTGTCACGATGCTTCTTGTTACTAGTGTTACTATTACTTTTCTTGTTGTTGCTATTGTTATTGATATTGCGCCGCCTCCGAAGTCGTGCTTACCTTCAAAGGATCCAAAGGCAGCTAGCTGAGCCCCCTCTTCAAGATCTGGAAGGCCACATAAATTGGGCATGTACTGGCAGCTGGTTCCCAACTTTGCCAGATCATGAGCTGCAACTGACATTTCCAAACAGCATGTGGGCATGGCTGCGAGGACAGAACCAAAGCGCCTAAATATCAGCTTCCCACGCAGCTGCTTCACAACCACTGCTAAACCGGATCAATGCTAACTGTAAATGCCAGCCCCAGTCCACTGAGCACTTTCTCTTTGAAAGCTTCTGAACAGCCATGATGCGGAGACCCTCGAAATTACTGCCATGTGGGGTGCGTTTGGCATCAACAGCTGCGATGCCGGTCAAGCGCGTTGGTGTTGTCGGTTGTGGGCAGACACGCGCTCAGAAATGCTTGAGCTTGGTTGATGTCTGTTTACCAAGACAAACCAATCCCGGCAGTAGCTTCTTGCTGGAACTAGCTATCGTCCACCCGCAGTCCGCGCAAGAAGGCTAGGGTCTATCACGAGACGGAGCCTATGTTGGAGAATTACAGACTTGATTTCCTCCGAACTTCATACCTTAACCCGGTAGCACTTCAGGGTTCCAACAGAAAAGCAGATTTCCTCTCAAGGCTTAGCTACGAAAGACATGCACGTAGTCAGACCAGAGTGGGCTTAATATGTAAACCCTAAACCCTTACAGCTGTCTTTTGCGTTAGTTGCAGGCAGCGCCACTTGAGCAAGTAAGCACTCAACAATCTTAGAAGCTTTCTGCTTGCCTCTGTTCGCCATTTCCAGTCAAAGATGTGACCACTAGGGCCATAATCTTGTCAATTCTCCCAGCGTCTATTTTCTTTTCCATGTCGTTTCGATTTGATTCTGCATTATTGAGGAGACACCTAAGACCCGATACCATACCGACATAGCCTCTACATAACACCTGCCCTTTGCCCTAAACCCCTAACCCTAA